TAGTGACATGTGTGGGCGTGTTGACTGAGTTTAGGTGGTGAACCCGAGTTTTAATGAGGATTATGGTTGATTTAGAAAATACAAGAGAGTTGGTTAGGTGGTGAACCCGAGTTTTAATGAGGATTATGGTTGATTTAGAAAATACAAGAGAGTTGGGATGGGAAAGTCCATGTTCATGTGATCGGATACAAGAGAGTTGGGATGGGAAAGTCCATGTTCATGTGATCGGATAAGGCTGTTGATGTATCTTCCAGACTCACACCGGTGAACCGTTTTGCACTGGGGTTAGTTTGTTGGGCCAAGTGAACCGTTTCGCACTTGGTCAGTGAAATCGTTTCGTCACTCTAGTTTTGCTTGAGTTCGAACCAGGCCGAAATCGGATTGCGTGTACTCCTCTCACCGAACCGTTTCGCAGGTTTGGATGCACGTAGGGAATTTGTGAACAACCAGTTATTTAGGAATATGAGCGTTGACTTTGTGTGATATGTGAACCAGTGACCTGTTATAGAATGGCTTGTTACATGACCTTATTACTTAAGGTGATTAGGATTCTTGTGTGAGATGTAGGTCAGTTGTGTTTCTTTTCATACATAGATCGGGGTTAATATTTAATTATCTACAATTTAAGATATATGGTATATATATGAGGGTTTTCTTGTTTGGATTATTTCTCTCGACGTACTACGTCTCTTGTTGTAGATTTTTAAATATTAATTCCATCTAGTTGTATGGCATAATTACTTGGATGATTGCTGATAGCTAGCTGCATGATCGACTTGTTACTTGATTGATTTTGTTGGAATCCCATTTGTGCGTTCCTTTGTCATTTCTATTGTTGTATCGTTTTTCGTATTGGGTGTTTGTACGTTCTTTTCTTTTGTGGGGTCTTGCCGTGTGCCGTGCACGCTGACGTACACCTGTTTTTTCTGGTGTACGTCAGACTTAGAGGAAGAACAGGTTCAGTAGGAGCCAGAGGATTCTCAGTAGGAGTGCCTTGTAGACGGAACAGAAGAAGAGTCGAAGCCTATTCTTTTCATTTATTAGTTGATGGTTCCAGTTTACTTTTATAGTTCTTTCCATTCCTACTTGATTGATGTATTTTATATTTCTTCAGTTTCAGTTGTTCAATTTGTATAAGGGCATGTTTGACCGTATTATTATGTCTTGGGTGATATTCATTTGTGATATGTATTATTTTGTTCTGAGTTTGTTCATTATATTCTTGCTGATTGAGATCGGGGACATGTGCCTTTGTATTGTATTTATTTCCAGACGCTTAGCGTATTGGATTGAGAAGAAAAGAAAAGAAAAAAAAATGATAGTGTATATTTCTTCTCAATCTAATACGTCGCGGGCTTGTTCACGTTCCGATTCCTCGATATTTTGGGATGCGGGGCATGACACATTCCTCAGCTTCTATTTTAGCAGTGTTACTTCTGCAGATAGAATGGCTATCTTTTATCAGTCGGAAGTTCTCTGATCTTTAATTTTTTTTCTCCATGTCGCGACATAGTCTTTGATTGATTATCGCAATCCTCTTTCAAAACCTTAGTTGTTGAAGCACTTTCAGTTGATCAATTGCTTCATCGTGTTGCTCGATGACTTCATCAATGTTCTAAGAAATAACCTAAGCAATAGACAGATAGAGTATCAGTAAAAAAATTATTAACAACTAAGAGAAAATATTAACAACAAAACAATAAAATTCACAAGTAATGATACAATGTTTACCTATGCAAGTATATTATTAACATATTCTAATCCCCTTCTAATGTTTGTTTTGGGATAACGTGTCTTAGCTACGTGCCCTACCAGTCTTAATCTTCTCTTTTTCCTTATTCTTCTCCTTCTCTTTTTCTTTCTTTCTTTCTTCTTCTTCTCTTTCTTCTTCTCTTTCTCCTTCTCCTACTCCTTCTGTAGCAAACCTCTCCCTAGTTCTTTAAAAAGCTTATCCACTCTTTAAACTTGGTCATGTAACTCTAGAAGCTTTTATTGTAGCTTGCAGAGCTTTAACTTCAACTGTGACCAACATTAGGGAACCCCAACTTCTCCCAGTCTCACCCAATTTATCAGACGAGTCCTTGACGTACTTCAACATAATAGCTTCTTGATAATAGTCAATTGATAGTACCACAACTGCACATTAGAGAAATAGAAGATTATAAATCTTTTAAAATAGCAATAAATTTAACAACTAGGTAATAAACTTAACAATCAATCTGAAACCTTAAAACCCAATATGCAACCTTAACAACTAATTTATAACCTTAACAATCAATTTGTAACATTAACAACCAATCTGAAACCTTAACATCCAAACTATATACTAAACAACCAAGTATACGATGTATACTTAACAACTAACCTGTAACTTTAAAAAGCAATCCTTAATCTTAACAATTAATAAATAACCTTAACAATTAAGAAATAAGCATAACATCTAATCATTGCTCTTAACAATAAATAGCAGGGATGCTTATAGACACAAGCTGGGCACACCTTTGCAGATATAAAAGTTTATTTTCTATTCATGGACCCTTTAATACCGCTTCAATTGCTACATTTGTCCCATTGAGTATATAGATCTCCAAGCAATGTTCCTTGCTTGTTCAATATTATCAATAAACTTGAGCAAGTGTCTTGATATGCCAAGAACACTGCTAGAACACCAAACCATGCTCAACTGATACAGGGTCTGCAGCAGGACAAAATCATTTACATCTTCTCGCTCAATAGATTGTACAAGCTTCATGAGTAGATCCTCAACATAATGTCCGGTAGGTGCTGAGGGAGCCTTATTGTTAGGGCTAACAAAATTCCCCTCATTGCTAAACCATGTATGGTTCATGACCCATTCAAGGTTGAACAAGCAGTCAATGTCTTCTCCAATTTTTGAATCTATGAAGACAAAAAAATTTCTTCTCGTCCCACTATCTCAAAACATGCCCAAAATGGAAAGATCAAGACATGGGGAGCCATAATCAATGTAGTGTCTGAAGACACAATCTTCATAGGCATTCCAATGCCTCTTATCCATAAGTTTGACCAAAAAATGCATAAAATCATAGTATGTCGTAAAACTTGATGTAGGGTGAAAGACCGTTTGTGTAAAAAGTAAAACAAGAAGACATAATTAATTTGTAAATAATCTGTAACCTTAAAAACTAAGCTGAAAACTTAATAACTAGACTGTAACCTTAACAATGAATCCATAAACTTAAACCTCAATAGCTAATCAATAAAATTAACAACCAATGGATAACCTTAATAATTAACCTTCATAACTTAACAGTGACATTCACAACTAATGCATAACTTTAATAACCAATGCTTAACCTTAACAATTAACAAGTAACCTTCATAACTTCACAGTAACCTTCACAACTAATGCATAACCTTAACAACTAACCTTCACATCTTAACAATAACCTTCACAATTTACACTTAACATTAACAACTAATGAATATCCTTGACAACTAACAACTAACATTCATAATTTAACAATAAGCTTCACAATTAACACATATCATTCAAAATTAAACAAGTACCTTAACAACAAATTAATGACTAACAAACACAATAGGTAACATCATAAATAACTAAATTATACAATAAACTAATTTCTTTTTTGTTGACATATTGATGCCTTCCAAATCGCTCCTATTTGTTCCTTTCTTTAGATCTAGGAGAGCTTTCGTGGCATCGTCTGTGTTGCCCTCATGCTGGGCCTTATCTTCATCCGTATGGTGAACTGGGCTTATGGGAGGGGATGACTAACTACGATGTACTCTAGAACATCTGCTATTATTTTCCCAGCATTAGCTAACTCTATGATCAAGGGTCTTCTTGCGACTACATATTGTGAGCCGTCATCGTCTTTGAAGTTTCCTACGAGAGAGAGTAACTTAGGTTGTGACTCTTCTGCTATGCTTTAAAGTAATAGAAGTGTAAAGGAAGGTAAGATGATAACAATAGAGCTTCGATTCCGCTCTGGGGGTAGGTTGATTTAGGGTTAGAGTTTCGATTTGGGGTGTCGGTTTCGCTCTTGGAGAGATGAGAGATAAGGACACTGTTAACGAAGAGAACTATTGAAAGAGTGGAAGGCGGTTAAATCAAAGAGCAAATTTGGGATTTTTTTTAACGTTCGGTCACGTGGGAACAAGATTAGGGGGCTAAACGAATACGCCATTTGCTTTAGGGGGTTTGGAGTTTTGAAAAGGTCTTGGGGGCTATAAGCACTTTTCCCTTTTATTTATCCATATATCTTCAATAAAACAAATACCTAAAATGTTAAAAAGTCATCCTTCCAATTTTTTTTCACTTTCATCTTTAATCAACACTGACAATATCACATACAACAGGTTTAGCATAGGTATGGGTTCTGAACCGCACTAC